AGCTCTCATTAAGATCCTTGAGCAACCTTATAACCATTGTTTTGAACTCTGTCTAGTAGTTTGCTTGCTTCCATTTCCTTTAGTTCTTTCTCTGGAGATTTCTTCTGTTTTTTCATTTGTGACATGTTTCTTTTTCTCTGCATTTTGGCTGCTTCCATTTGTTTCTGTGTATTAGGTAGAGCTACTATATCTCCTGGAATAGAGTGAGGATATTAGAGAGAGAGAGAGAGAGAGAGAGAGAGAGCGCGCAGGGAATCAAACCCAGTGAGCCTTTGGTGCATGGGCTGACACTAACCACTGAGTACACTGGCCAGGGCAAGTTTTACTGATGTTTTTAAAAAGTAGTTACGAATTCTGAACACTTTAAAACACTGTTATTGAAACTAACATTTCAATAGTAATTGAAGTAAATGCCAAAATAAATAATAATGGTACTAAAATTAGTATTTTAGCATTAAATGAAATAAATACAGAAAATAGTTTTGTAATAGAAACTGTGCATATTTATTCCATACACTCCTGTAGGTTTGATATATTTTACAATAAAAAAGAAATTAATTAATTAAAAAATGTGCTGCATAAACTATGCTTTAGATTTGAGTATTTAAAGAGAACTTTCATGAATTTAGTTGTTTTAGAAGTATATGGAATAAGTATTTTAAAAATTTGTCATCTTTCTGGAAATATTTTATATCAAGCTTTATACATGAACTGTTCTTTAGAAATTTGTAGCAAAAAAACAAAACAAAAACCTTAAGTGACATCAAAGAACTACATAGTAAAATTATTTTGGAAATTAACCAGATTTTTTTTTTTTTCTTAAAAAGGTGGCCACTTTTGAAAAGGATAGTCTCTCTATTGAACTTAGGGCATTTGCTAACAGCAAAGAGTTCATGCTCTTGCATCCCACAGGGTTTTATCACTAGTTAGTAATATACATCTTGTTCAGTGGAATTTGTAGATTTGTAACATAAAGGATTTCTATATCTTAATGTATCGTATAATTTATTGACAAGGATAGAGAGAATTGGACCATACATACTTATTTTTAAAAATATGTATTTTTATTGGTTTCAGAGAGGAAGGGAGAGGGAGAGAGAGATAGAAACATTAATGATGATGAGAGAGAATCATTGATTAGCGGCCTTCTGCATACCTCACACCAGGGATTGAGCCTACAACCTGGGCACATTCCCTGACCAGGAATCAAACCATGATCTCCTGGTTCATAGGTTGCCACTCAACCATTGAGCCATGCAGGCTGGGCAACATACTTATTTTTGATAGCCACCTCTGTTACTTTTTAGATAATGAACAGTATGGACTTAGGTTAGTGGTTGGCAAACTCATTAGTCAACAGAGCCAAATATCAACAGTACAACGACTGAAATTTCTTTTGAGAGCCAAATTTTTTAAACTTAAACTATATAGGTAGGTACATTGTTATTAACTTAATTAGGGTACTCCTAAGCTGGCCTTTGCTAAAAATGTCCTCAATCTGATTGCGGTACGTTCGCTGAGGTTGACCCCTTCCAACTCTCCCATCCACACTTGTCTTGTATACTTGTTTCGTCTATTCTTAAATTGATGACAAAAATACCTGTAGGATTTGCAGCTGGTGGAAAAATACAGGTAACTTTATGCTTCGAGTAGGTACTTTTGTCACCCTCGCGCGCGATTTGCGGACGCGACTAGCACTAACCACTGCACAACGAGACTGCTGACTGACTGGCTCATTCAACTCATGCATGAATCGCGCGCGCCTCCCCCGCGCTGCGTATCCCGGCCTGCCTGCGCCGAGTCTTCCGTCGCCTGACCAACCGACACCCCCGACTTCTTCTAACACCACTTCTTCAAAATAGACTCGCTTATGGATGGGGGTCACCACAACATGAGGAACTATATTAAAGGGTCGCAGCATTATCTTCAAAATAGACTCGCCCAGGCTGAAAATCGACTTCTGTGCATGGGCCACGAAGTTTCAATCGCACTGTACGTGGGTTCCTGCACGTGGTATTTTGTGGAAGAGCCACACTCAAGGGGCCAAAGAGCCGAATGTGGCTCGCGAGCTGCGGTTTGCCGACCACTGACTTAGGTGATGCTGTCCTTTTTGATCTTGGCTGATTTTAACAAAGCATTGAAAAATATTTTCTTATTTCTCTTTCTGCTTTTAATTTGTAGTTTCTTTTTCCTGGAATGCGCTTCTTTCTTATATGTAGGTGTCTATAGTCTACCTATCTTTTAGGACCCAGTTTAAAATTTATCTGCTTACCTATAGCTATCATACTCAGTGGTGAAAGAGTGAAAGCTTTTCCTCTGAGAGCTACATAAGGATGCCTGCTCTTGCCACTTCTATTCAGCATAGAATTCAGCAAATTTTCTCTATCCAAATTCTCTCTATCTAGCCAGAGCAATTATGCAAGAAAAGAAATGAAATATACCCAAATCTGAAAGTGTCTACTGAGCACAAAAGATTCAGGAGGCTTTGGCTAGAAATAAATGATAAAGATTTATTTAACGGTCTTTGGATTTGCAAATTGGGAAGGCAACTAGGCAGTATCCTGAGTGTTCCAAAGACAAAAGGGAAGCTGAAAGTTTTTTATAGTAAAAGTCACATTCTTGAGAAGAAATCAGCACTGCATTCTTAGCCCTTGGATTAGTTCAAAATTATATGTCAGGTGATCTGGATGATGGATGTCAGGTGGTCTGGCTACATGAACATTCTTTTTAAGTTGTTCAAAGGGTTATCAGAGGTTTATCTGTAGGAATTATGTATCTGTGTATCTACAGACACAACTGAAGAGTTAAAAAGTTTAACTTCTTAGGCTAGTTAAAGCAAGAATGGAATTGTTTTGTCATGTCTCCAGACTACTTAATTTTAATAATTTAGCAGCTTGACTGTAATGACTCAGTTTTATTTCTTTAGTCTTTCCTCAAGTAGAAGAAGTAAAATTGTGTCTGTTTGCAGATCATGCAATCTTATAGGTAAGAAACACACAAAACTTTTAGAACTAATAAATTCAGTAAAACTTAGGGTACAAAATCAGCATGCAAAAATCAATTGGGTTTTTATACACTAACAATGACCAATCTGAAAGGAATTAAGAAAACAGTACCATTTATAATAGCATCAAAATTAATAAAATACTTGAATAAATGACGAAGAAGGTGAAAGACCTATCTATCATAAACTGCAAAACACTTGGGAAAAAAAGGGCACAAATAAATGGAAAAGACATCCATGTTCATAGATTGAAAAAGACTTAATATTGTTAAGATCTTCATACTACCCAAAGTTATCTACAGATTCAATGTAATTTAAAATCCCAATGAAATTTTTTGCAGAATAGAAAAAATCAGTTCTAAAATTCGTATGGTTCCCCAAGGGACACTGTATAGCAAAAATAATCTTGAAAAAAGAACATAGTTGGAGAACTCACTCTTTCTGATGTCAAACTTATAACAAAGTTACAGTATGGTGCACAACAGAAAACCCAGAATAAACCCTCACATATGTGATCAAATGATTTTGAACAAAGTAGCAATAAATCAAAGATCTAAATGTAATAGCTAAAGTTATAAAACTCATAGAAGAAAATATAAGGGAAAAGTTTCATGGCATTAGACTTGGCAGTGATTTCTTTTTTTTTTTTTTTGCTTAAAGTATTACAAAGGGTATTACATATGTGTCCTTTTTTTCCCCCCTGCCCTTGACAATCCCCTGGCCTCCCCTACCCCCCAGTGTCTTATGTCCATTGGTTATGCTTATATGCATGCATACAAGTCCTTCGGTTGATCTCTTACCCCCCTCCCTCCTGCCTCCCAACACTCCCTGGCCTTCCCGCTGCAGTTTGACAATCAGTTTGAGGCAGCTCTTGGCAGTGATTTCTTATATTTGACACCAACAGCATAGCCCACAAAAGAAAATAAACTTTAATTTTTATGCATTAAAGGACACTATAATATATTGAAAATGCAACCAACAGAATGGGAGAAAATATTTGCAAGTCATATATCTGAATAGGGAGTAGCATCCAGAATATATAAATAATTCCCACAACTCAACAAACCAAAAAAAACCAACCTATTAAGAAGTGGGCAAGGGACTTGCATAGACATTTCTTCCAAGAAGATATACAAATGGTCAATAAGTACATGAAAAGATGTCCAAGATCGCTACTCATTACTGAAATGCAAATCAAAATGACAGTGAGACCATTGGGGTGGCTGTAAGAAAAACAGAAAGTAACAAGTGTTGACAAGGATGTGGAGAAATTGGAACCCTTGTGCATAGTTGGTGGGAATATAAAATGGTACAGTCACTGCAAAAAACAGTATGGCAGTTCCTCAAAAATTAACCATAGAATTATTGTGTAAGATCTGGCAACTCAACTTCTGATATATAAACAAAAGAATTCAAAGCAGGGTTTTGAAGAGATATTTGTACATCTGTGTCCCTAGCATTATTCACAACTAGAGGCCCGATGCACAAAAATTTGTGCACTCTGGGGGGTCCCTCAGCCCAGCCTGCGCCCTCTTGCAGTCTGGGACCCCTCTGGGGATGTCTAGCTGACGGCTTAGGCCCACTCCCTGGGGGGATTTGGCCTAAGCTGGCAGTCAGACATCCCTCTGGCAGCCCGGGAACCCTCAGGGGATGTTTGACTAATGACTTAGGTCCACAGGCCTAAGCTGTTAGGTGGACAGCCTTAGCACTGCTGAGGGGTGCTCCCCTTGTGGAAGCACACTGACCACCAGGGGGCAGCTCCTGGTTGAGCATCTGCTCCCTGGTGGTCAGTGCACGTCATAGTGACCAGTTGTTCCCAGTCATTTGGCCATTAAGGTCAATTTGCATATTACCCTTTTATTATATAGGATAGCCAGGAGGTAAAAGCAACTCATGCCCATTGACAGATGAATGGATAAGCACACTGGTATGCATGTACAGTGAAATACTATTCCGCCTTAAAAAGGAAGAAAATTCTGACAAATGCTACAATATGGAAGGACCTTGAGGACATGGTAAGTTAGCCCAGTCACAAAAAGAAAGAAAATACTGTATGATTCCACTTATATATGAGGCACTCAGAGTAGTCACATGCCACATAATGATGAAGCACATTTTAAACGATTTTCCCATAAGATTATAATGGAGCTGAATTTAAAAAAACTTTTTTTCAGAAAGAGGAAGGGGGAGGGAAAGAGAGAAAGATAGAAATATCAATGATGAGTGAGAGTAATTGATCCGCCTGCCTCCTGCATGCCCCCTACTGGGGAATGAGCCCAAAACCCAGGCCTGTACCCTGACTGGGAATCGAACCATGACCTCCTGGTTCATAGGTTGATGTTTAACCATTGATCCACACCAGCTGGCTGAGTTTTCTTTAAGAAATAGGAGTGTATGTGGTTCAGGAGGAATTTTTTTTTTTTTCTCTGACCGTAGCAATATTTGTGGGGTTTGGGAATAGATTTCCTCTCACTCAGAGCACCTCAATTTTGAGTGCACAGATTACATTCCAATCACCACTGACCTGTTTCAGCACAGAGGAGCCCTGTCCCACCAGCACTACATATGCAGATGGTGCCACAGCCCTTCCAGATCTAGCATGATGGTCTTCAGAGTACACTGCCATAAACTTGGTTGAGGACCTAAGATCCTGTTCAAGGGCACAGGTCCCCAGGAGCCACCTTAACAAGTATTAAGGGCCACTGCCACTTCAGTAAAAGCTTTCCCTGACAGTGTGGAGCCTGCTTGCCTCTGTGTTATAATGATATGAAGCATAGATGAGTTTTATTTTTTCCCATCAATTTAATGCTAGATAGAGATCTTTCTGCCAGATAGGATCAATGGAACCAAAAACAACTTTCCAAAGTAAAAATAATTGAGTCCCCAGTTCTATATATCTTCTTCATATTAAACACCCCATCTCTTTTTAAAATGAATACCACATAAATTTCTTAATCTGACCACTGCTCCAAAATGCAATAGCCAAAACCACACTGCCATGACAATTATGTTCCTTTATGTCTCCACCTTGATTTCTTATTCCTACTGATCTTCAGGTCAACTTCCCTCCCTCCTTTGACAGTCACTATTACGGTGTGATCTAAACCTTGCCCAGCCAGTTTCTCCTCGATATTTCCATTCACTCCAGCCCACATCCCTATTCATGGAGCAGTGTTGACAGCTTCAGTGTTCTGTTTATGAGCCTGTTGGAAGGAAGGAGGGACAGGGCTTGTGGAACAGTGCTTATAAAGTAACTAGTGTTCCAGTGCAGGAATTAATGCACCAGTGAGGTCCCTCGGCCTGGCCTGGCCTGCGGGATTGGGCTGAAACCAGCTCTCTGACATCCCCTGAGGGGTCCTGGATTGTGAGAGTGTGTGGGCCAGGTCGAGGGACCCCACCAGTGCACCGGGGTCAGGGAGGGACATGGAAGGTTGGCTAGTGGGGAGGGACCACGGAAGGGCTCCAGGGTGTTCCGGCCCATCTCACTCAGTCTCGATCGGCCAGACCTCAGCAGCAAGCTCACCTACCGGTTGGAGTGTCTTCCCCCTGGTGGTCAGTGCACATCATAGCAACTGGTCGATCGATTGACTGTCTGCCCCCTTGTGGTCAGTGCACGTTATCGTGAGCTGTTGAGCGGCCTTAGCATATCATCAACATATTGTGCTTTGATTGGTTGAATGGCTGACCGGACACTTAGCATATTAGGCTTTTATTATGTAGGATGTCCTAGGCCTTCACATTTGCTCATCACTCATATACTTACCCAGAGTAACTCCCAATTCTGCAGGCTCCATTCATGGTAAGTACCCTATACAGGTGTACCATTTTTTATCTTTCACACTGTATTTTTATTGTACATTTTCTACTTTAAGATATGTTCCAATACATAATGCTTACCATTGTGTTATAATTGCTGGAAGCATTCATACAGTTACTGCTGTACAGGTTTGTAGCCTGTGAGCAATAGGCTGTACCATAGAGCCTAGGTGTTTAGTAGGCTACATCATCTAAGTTTGTGTAAGTGCACTCTATGATGTTTGTACAGTGATGAAGTCACCTAATGACACATTTCTCAGAATGTACCTCTGTCTTCAAACAATACATGATTGTAGTAAAAATTACAGACAGAAAGTAGAATGGTGTTTGCCAGGGCCTGAAGGGAGGAGAGCACGAGGAGTTATTTTTTATTTATTTATTTATTTTTAAAATATATTTCTTTATTGATTTCAGAGAGGCAGAGAGGAAGGGAGAAGGAGAGAGATAGAAACATCAATGATGAGAGAGGATCATTGATTGGCTGCCTCCTGCACACCCCACAGCCTACAACCCAGGCATGTGCCCTTGGCCGGAATCGAACCTGGGACCCTTCAGTCCGCAGGCCAATGCTCTGTCCACTGAGCCAAGCCGGCTAGGGCGAGGAGTTATTTTTTAATGGGTACAAAGTTTCAGTTTTACAAGATGAAAAGAATTGTGGAGATGGATAGTCGTTATGGTTACACAGCAGTGTGAATGTACTTGTCACTGAACAGTACTCTTGAAAATGGTTAAGATCGTAAATTTTATGTTATGTGTATTTTATTGCAATTTAAAAAATGGCATTGTAAGGATTAGTAAAAACTCTACAGGTTAAAAATTTTTTAAAAAGGGGAAAACAAATCTTGGGCATCTGTTGACGTAACTAATCAACTTCAGTAAACGCCATGTTTAGAAATATCTTTGTTTTATTGTAGCTTTATATTTGGAATTATATATCCCTTTAATTTCTACTTTACAAAAGAGCACATGACTTTGAATAATAGCAAGTTTAATTTTTTTATTTTAGAGTTTTAATGAATTAAAAGGTAGCTTTACACACCTACAGTAGAACTCTAACCTTGACTTCAAAACCTTTTTTTTAGCACATTCATTAAAACCCTGCCATAGTGGGACAAGTGAGATCCAAATATTTTAATAGCATAAAGTATAGTGTAAGGTTTGTGAAAATGTTATTTAGTTTGTTGTACTATCAGAAAAAAGCACAAAAGTAGAGATGGTGAAGAATTATACCTAAGTGACACTTAACTGAGGGGAGAAGGTCCCAAATGATCTTGTTTGTGTTGGTTCATTTCCTATCTTACTCTCTGAAGGACTTTTAGCTTGTTGCTGTTTTGAGAACAAGAGCAAGGTAGAGGACGAGAAGCAGTTACATTGTATTCAAATTTGTGTATTGTCCCTCTTGCTTTATTCAGTGATATTGTGCTTGTTAGCCTTATTAGAAACACTAGAGGCCCGGTGCACAAAAATTTGTGCACTTGGGGTGGGGGGTTCCTCAGCCCGACCTGTGCTCTCTCGCAGTCTGGGACCCCTCGGGGAATGTTCACCTGCTGGCTTAGGCCTGCTCCCCGGGGGATCGGGCCTAAGCTGGCAGTCAGACATCCCTCTGGCAGCCCGAGAGCCCTCGGGGGATGTCCACTTGCCAGCGGGGAGCAGGCCTAAGCTGCAGTCAGACATCCTTAGCGCTGCTAGGGAGGCGGGAGAGGCTCCCACCACCACCGCTGTACTGGCAGCCGTCAGCCTGGCTTGTGGCTGAGCAGAGCTCCCCCTGTGGGAGCGCACTGATCACCAGGGGGCAGCTCCTGCATTGAGCGTCTGCCCCCTGGTGGTCAGTGTGTGTCATAGTGACCAGTCATTCCAAGTGGTTCTGCTGTTAGGGTCAGTTTGCATATTACCTTTTTATTATGTAGGATGGTATAAAAGAACCCCTTTGATTTTCAGAGATGGGGTGTTGTTTCCAAAGATTTAAGTTGAATTTGTTGCATTTAAAGAAGTTTCAGCTGTGCTAATTTGGGTTCTCTGAGAAATAGCCACCCAAATGGGATTAAACCAAGAACTCATTAGAGGTAATACCTGGGAGAGGAAATGGAGAGGGAGCCAGAAGCAGAAAAAGCTGTAAGACCACAAGCCAAGTCTGACCTTGATGGAGGAAGAGAGGGAGGAAGGAAGGAAGATTGAGTAGGAGTAGCTTAGGTTGCAGGGAAATTTTAAGGAGAGTTTGGCCAAGCTTTTGGGGAGACCTTGAGCCAAATTCACTTGTCAGAAGAGTCCTTGGACTCCCTGAACCAGATCTGTCTTTTTATCCCTGCCTTTCTCAGTCATTATGTGGGAACAACTGCAGCCCTGTCAGCTCTGCTTCCTGTGGTTAGAAATTTGAGAGGCACATTCTCATAGTTTCACCATCATCTTCTTACGTTATTTTTTATTCTTTATGTGGAATCTATTATGACCTGCTAAATCATTGCCTTTAAGAAACATGGTTCTATTGATTAAGAGCTTTTGTGTATTCATTTATAACCATACTTGGAGAAATTGAAGAATTGTATTATTTTGTCTTGTCATATATTTGGTGCTTATTGATTTAAATTATAAATGCAAAAGAGGGAAGGGAACTACCCGCCCCGCCCCCTCTAAGCCTTTAACACCTCCTTGTAGTTATTGCTAATGACAATGGTGGTAGAGCAGAGGAGAATGTCATGGGAAGAGAAGTAAAAAAATATGCAATAGGATATTGGAAGGAGCACCTGGATAGATTTTGAAGTAACTAAGAGCTTAATATAGAATTTAATTAAAGTTTTAATTAAAAGTTAAGATAGCAAGTGAGTTTCTTAAATATACTAGTTTGCATCTGTCTTTTCAAAAAGCAAAACCATGAGGAAACATGCAAATAATTAATAAGTTGACTTTTTAAAACTTAAAATATTTCTCAATTTACTTTGGAGGTAGATGTTGTTGATTCTGAGTTGTAAATTGATTTCTTGGTTCCATGAAACTTAAACACAAAGAAAATTTCTATAGTCCCATATGAATCAAAGACTGAGAAAAGTCATTTGTGTTAGATCTTAAAAATGTCTTTGGCAGTACTTCGGTATTCAGAAGTGTTGGAGAAACTTTGGCAGCAAAGCAGAGCCATAGAGTAAGACCAAACTAGGACAGCAAAGTCATTATTCTGCTTTTTAGTGAAGAAAGTATTTTTTTAAACAGTTGTGACCTTTGGTGTTATACCAAAAATACCTTTTTGGGACTTCATTTGGATGCAAGGCTGTGTCAAAGTATTTAGAAACACAAGGATTGAATATTAAGTAGTGACTTCTAAAAACAATTATAACATTTTAAATGCATAAATAGTTATTTTTATGCCAGTTTTAACTTTTTTGTTGTTTTTTTAAAAAAATGCCAGCTTTAATTTAAAATGTTTTTCTTGTGTCCCCAAATGAATATGGTAAAATAACTTTAAACACCTTACAAATTTAAAAAATAATTTTAAAGGATACAGAAAATAAGAACTTTCTTAAATTTAAATATGAGACAATAAAATGGGAGATATATTTCACAGAAACTGTGGTTAGAATGAATGTGTTGGAAAAGGAACTGAGG